TAATAGTATTGCTATGTGCATATTTTCAAAAAAAAAAAAATATTTATCATAAAAAGGTATTTTAGTTTAATGCAATTTATTAAATGTGAAGGTGCAGAATATCCTTTTGGTACTAACACCCACATACGATAATCTATAAATTATAAAAAGGTAGACATGTGCATTTTCCAAAAACAAAAAGGAATATTAACAAATAAAGGTGGGGATGTGAATGAGTATCCTTCTATAGTATTAAAATTACCAAAGTAAGCCATAGAAATTTTTTTTAAATGTTTTATAAAACATAATTTATGAATCTCGCTCTAATACCACTTAAAAGTTTGTGAAGGTTATTAGACATTTAAGAACTATCACAATGCTAACAAATAGGGGGCTGAATTAATTTGCATCTCCATTCATGTGCCATGAACATCTATTTCCTAGGTACCATATACTCTAATGAGGCCTTCTGTGTGAGCATCCCTATGAAATCATTAGTGGTCAGTTTTGGGATTCAGAAAAAGTTTGTGTTCTACCTTATAGAATGTGCGATGAAATGCATGCATGCTATGCTATGAATTATGCAATTTAGGTCTCCTCAAAGTGTGTTCTATGGTGGATATTCATGCGTGGGAGATTTTTCCTAGCATGCGACAAAAGAAAAATCTAACTCCAGGAAAAAAGTTTATTAATTTATTTTTATTATGGTACCTCTTCTAACGTTTGAATGCATGATGTGATGGTGAGTTATAAAATTGTACAATTGTTTGATACTTTTTTGTATTCTTTATAAGGTATTAATTGAACTTGTAAATATTTGTTTTTAGTTTCAAGAATTGAATTTTGAATTTTCAATACATGCTCACTACCTTCTAATTTACATGTAAAAGTTTTAACAGTTCCTTGATTGCATTTTATAATACAACATGTGAAGTTTTCAAGGAGTCATGTTTAGTTGTTAAATCAAGATTAATTTTATAAAAAAAAAAGTCAAATTCATCTAATAAAGCTATATGATTACTATCTATAGTTAAATAATCTTTCTTGAGGCATTTATGCTCTTTCTGTAGAATTAAAAAGTTAGATTTAAGGCATGTACATGCTTTCTTAAGCATTCTATATGTAGAATGAACTTTTTTGGAAACTTAAAATAACTATTAATAGGAATGCCTACATACCACCTCTTGATTAGAATGATCAAAATGATTATGAGCCATTAAGCATAGGTTGGTTACCTCTTCTTCTGCTTCAAATTTAAATGAGTCTTAGGCTAAGTCTGCCTTGATTGCCATCTGAATCTTTTGCTTGCCCTTTTTGAATTTTGCTTTTTCTTCTCCCTTCTCATCTCTCTAATGAGATTTAAGACTTGAGCAACCAATCTTTACGTTCCCTGGTTTCCTTCTTTCATAATAGATAATGTTAGAGTAAGCTTTAGAATGTTTATAATTTTTTTTTTTGTCTACTGCTTATGACACTTTTGCTTTATCTTTTGAAATCTTCTGAAATGTCAGGTTATCAGGATTATATTATCCTCTCCTTCATCGGAAGAACTGTCTGAGTCATTAGCCTTTATGGCTATAGTTTTCTCTTTCCACTTTTCACCCACTTGCACTACTGATTATATCATCCTCTCCTTTATGGCTATAGTTTTCTCCTTCCTCTTTTCACCTACATCAAGCTGCATTTGACTCACTCCTAGCTCATAGATAATGAGTTACCCAAGTAAGTTATCAATTGAATAAATTTTTAGATCTTTAGATTTAGTAATAAAAGTGATTTTTGAATTATAGGAGGAAGATAAACAACAAAAAAAATTGTTAATTTTTTTCATAATTTATAAGTTCTCATCCTAAGCCATGTAGAGAAGTAACTATCTGAGTAGACCTAAAATAATATTTAGAAATATATTCATTAGGTTTCATGCAAAAAAGTTCATAATCATGAAGAAGAATGCTTAACCTAGATTACTTGACTTTCTTTATTCTTTCATATGTTATGCATAGTTTATCCCAAATCTCTTTCCAGTAGTGCAAGTGGAAACACACATATAATCTTCAGATTTTAAAACACAAAAAAAATAATTCAAATATTTGATTTCAGTTGGGCTAAATCTCTATTATATGTACTCCATTTAGAAAAACATATGTTAGTTTAATTCCATTTAATAAATATGAAGGTGGAGAATATCCTTCATGAACAAACATACATATGTCATAATATATAAATTCTAAAAAGGTAGACAAGCAAATTTTTTGAAAATCAAAAGGAATATTATCAAATAAAGGTGGTCATATAATTGAGTATCCTTCTATAGTATTACGATTACCTAATTTAGCCATAGATCTTTTATCAAAAGTTTTATAAAACTAAATTTATGAATCTCACTCTGATACCACTTAAAAGTATGTAAAGGTAACTAGACCATTAAGAACTAGTCCAAGGCTAAGTAAGAGGGGGGGGGGGG